TTCTGACTCCAACTCTAGGGAGTCATGCACAACCCCTCCGCATCTTTCCACACCCCAAATATACACAGGTGCATAAACCTTAGAAACATAGAAAGTAAACCTTAAAAAAACAGATCAATCCCATGTGCTCATTACCAGTGTCCCCCAACAACAACACCCTGCAAAAGTAAAGGGCAGTGTCATCATGATGGAGACAGTGGTTTCCTTTGTTCTTGTGTGTGTGCAAATATGTGAATGTATGTGTATGTGTGTGTGAGTATACATGCATGAGCATATGTGTAAATGTGTGGGTGCATATGTGTGAATGTTGTGTGTGTGTTTAGTTTAATGCAATTTTATGGAATTTGCATATCTATTGGACTTTAGGTATTTTTAAGATTTATTTATTATGTAGACAGTGTTCTGTCTGCATGTATGCCTGCAGGCCAGAAGAGGGCACCAGATCTCATTACAAATGGTTGTGAGCCACCATGTGATTGCTGGGAATTGAACTCAGGACCTCTGGTAGAGCAGCTAGTGTTCTTAGCTGCTGAGCCACCTCTCCAGTCCCTCTTTAAATTCCACTCCCCCCTCTGGATCCTCAGCCACTCTCTTTAAAGATGTATCTGAGCATTGTCTTTGTAATGAAGAACCATATATAACAAAAACACAGTTTGAGGGTTTGAATGAGGTTTCCACCGTCCAGGAAGGGTTTGTTTTGCATAGAGCAAGCCATTGTTGAAATGGCTGGCATTTTAATTTAATGAGCAAAAGGATTGAGGTCTTCCTTTGTGGGAGAACTGGGCTTATTTTGAATGCATTGTGAGTCAGTAGGGTAACTTGTGGGCCCCTGACAGCCTTCCCAGAGTGTCTCATCCTGAACTGCTGCTTCTAACAGGAAGCTCTCTCCTGTTTGTCCTCTGGGTTCTTGTACATATGAACCTGCTGCTCACCTGGGGCATCTCTTATAGGTGCTCAGGTGCCCTGGAAGGAGAACTGCAGCCCTCTGAAATACTCTGCTCTCTGGGACCTTTGTCTCTCAACCCCAGGCTGATGCCTTAGTGAGTGATGTGTATTTAATGTCGCTATGTCTACTCAGTGAGAGAGAGTCTGCAAAAGAAGTCCCACCATTGTTGCTTTTTAAGATTTATTCATTTATTATGTATACAGTGTTCTGTCTGCACGTGTGCCTGCAGGCCAGAAGAAGGCACCAGATCTCATTACGGATGGTTGAGAATCACCATGTGGTTGCTGGGAATTGAACTCAGGACCCCTGGAAGAGCAGCCAGTGCTCTTAACCTCTGAGCCATCTCCCCAGCCCCCCACTATTGTTTCTTTTTTTGTTGTTTTTCTGTTTTTTTGAGACAGGGTTTCTCTGTGGCTTTGGAGCCTGTCCTGGAACTAGCTCTTGTAGACCAGGCTGGCCTCGAACTCACAGAGATCCGCCTGCCTCTACCTCCTAAGTGCTGGGATTAAAGGCGTGCACCACCAACGCCCGGCCCACTATTGTTTCTTAAACATGTGTTTTGATGTCCCTGAAGGGACAAAGGGAGCCTTAAGTACAGACACACTTCCTCATGTAGCCTTTGTATGTTTAGAAGACAAATGTGTCCCAGAGGCCCATGTGTCTAAGGTGTGGTCCTAACTTGGCACTATTGGTAGGCTGTGAAACTTTTGTTTGGTGGGTCCTTAGCAGGAAGCCCTTAGGACTTTGGCGACATACCCTTAAAGGGAGCTGTGGGGTCTGTCCTGCTTCCTGATCATGAGGTGAGTGGTTTTATTCATCACTCCCTCCTGCCATCGTGGACTAAACTTCTGTGAGGCAAAACAAACCCCCCCTTTTTTTTTTTAAAGATTTATTTATTTATTATACAAACCGTGTTCTGTCTGCATGTATGTCAACAGGCCAGAAGAGGGCACCGATCTCATTACAGATGGTTGTGAGCCACCATGTAGTTGCTGGGAATTGAACTCAGGACCTCTGGAAGAGCAGTCAGTGCTCTTAACCTCTGAGTCATCTCTCCAGCCCCCCAAACCCTTTCTTTTTGTAAGTGGATTAATTACAGTGACAGATGTTGACTGAAGGACGCGTTTCTTCTGGAATCTGGCTTTGTAAACATCCTGGTGCTGTCATTTCCCAGCCTTGTGATCCTGGCAAAGCCTCTTCCTAGGTCTCAGTTCTCATGCTGCTTCCTGCTGGGCTGAGTAAGCCGGTATGGGCTTCCCAAGGTGGTCAGCAAAACTTCTGTGAGTGCTGTGTAACAAATTAGACTTAAGTAGCAAGCCAAGGTGAGTCTGCTGGGAAACGAGGAGGAGCAGTCCAGACCCGAGGACACGCATGTGCACATTCCCTCCTTCTGGCACATGTGGGGAAGCAGCAGGATGGCCAGCATTTCCAGAGTGATGAGCAAAGGGGGAAGAGAGACTGAGGGCTGAGAAGAGGCCGGGCAGGGTCTAGATTGCACGTTATATGTGCTGGGGAAGCTGGGCCCTGTGGAATGTGCTTTTAATCACAGCAAGTTTCAGCCAGAAAAAAAAGAAACACATGCTAGGCAGTGATGGCGCACGCCTTTAATCCCAGCACTTGGGAGGCAGAGGCAGGCGGATCTCTGTGAGTGCAAGACCAGCCTGGTCTACAAAGTGAGTTCCAGGACAGCCAGGGCTATGGAGAGAGACCCTGTCTCAGAAGGGGCCTGCCCCGGCCTTGCAGTGGGCCTTGGGCCCCGTGCCCCGTCCACTGCCCCGTGCCCTGGGATTAGCTGTGCTGGCTGAACCAGCCCTGTTGACTGGAAGCAGACAGCTGGGGCCAGGGCCGCCCAACACCTGCTGTACCTGGGTGCCACAGATGAAGCGAGTAGAGCTGAGGCCAGCTCCAAACTCCTCCAGAGCCTGCAGATCTGCTACCACCTTTGGATCACAGCTGGGATGGAACCCAGGGCTTTGTAAGTGCTAGACAGGCACTCTAGTGAGCTATCAGCCCGAAACAGCTGCTGCTTTTCCAGGAAGTTTTGTAACAAAAGGAACAAAGATGAGGAATGGTCGAAGAGGGTATATAGATGCACAGATTAGGATACACGGGACTTGGTTACATATAGGTTCATTTTATTCGAGGAGAAGTCACTTACATGAGAAACCGATGACCTGCACGTTCAGCTCCAAGGACCAATGCTCAGGCTGCTCTCCATGACACAACCGGAACCAAGAGAGCGAGCTGGGGTCCAGGACCCCAGACCTAGCCTTCCCCTGTCACACCCACACCTGTGACCATGCCTAAACATGTGTAGTCAGTGCAACAGGTGCGGGCGGGGTGGATCTCTCACGACAAGGGTATTGGCTCAAGGGGATGTTGTGGGTGTCTGAAGTATCCTCCTGAGAGATTCATGGGTGGTCTCTTGTGGGTGATGCTCCTGAGAGGTGATTGGCTCAGAAGACGCTGACTCCACCATTTCCTGCACTTATGATTTAGGATTATTGGGGGTGGGGACTGTTTGGGGGAGTGCTTTTTTTGAATGGTGTGTTGTCTCCGCCCCACACTGCTTCCTGGCCCCCAAGGGAGAGCAGCTTGGCTCCGCCACACCCTTCTACTGTGATGCTCTGCTTCAGCCACCACCCAGAAATGACAGACCATGGATTTGAAACCTCAGCAATTATAACCCCAAACGAGGCCCATTTAAGGGAGGAGACACTTGGTCACCTGCATGCCCACAGGAATGACAGAGCTGTGACAAGGAGGAAGGAGTTGGGGATTCCAGAGAGAGGTTCTTGAAAAGGTCAAACGGATGGATCCTGATCTTACTGCCTCGAGAGAAGCAGACATAGCTCATTTGGAGTGGCAGGGGGAGCTGAGAACAAGGCTGTCACAGTTGGTTGTCAGGTCTGGGGATGGTACTGAGGGAAGACTGGTCCATCACTCTGACCCTTTGATGAGCAGTAAGGGAAAGGTCACCTGCAGGGCTGGGGAAGAGGGCTGTAGACGGAGGACAGGGGACATGATGGTGCTGTGTGGGAAGGCAAGACCTGAAGAGAGGCAGGAGGGGACGGCTGTTCCTGGGCCCTTTCTGGCTGTGGATTTGTGCGGTGGCGTTTACAGAGCCCCTGGCTTGCCTGCTGCATTTGCAGGTGTGGAGCAGGTGGAAGGGGATTTCCCTGGGTGGTGGACATTGCCAGCTCCGTGGGACAAAGGGAGAGTGGGTGTGTTTGCAAGGAAAGTGATGCGAGATGGGATAAACAAGGCGTCTGGCCAGCAGCTCAGTCTTCCAGGTGCATCTGCCTACAGCTCCCCAGGATTGTGTTTTAATACAAGCCTGGGAGCTCGCAGATGTCCTGAGCCCACAGCAGCGACAAACATGGCTTTCCTGTGTGATGCGTTTCCTCCAGGACTAAATCCACTCTTGGGAGTTTGGGAAGCTCAGTCTGGTGTGTGTGCATAACCCCCAACCCTGCCCCTCTGCCCTGATTTCCCAAGGTCACCACTTGAGGTCAAGTTCCACAGGGAATAGTGCCATGCTGGTAAGATCCCCCTAAGATGGCATGGACCCTAGTGCCAATTTGAGTCCAGTGTAGAGGTCAGAGGCACCAGATGAGCCTAGATAGAACTTGGGGAGGGAAGGAAGGGGGATAGTGGGAAGCAGAGGTGCTGTGATACCACAGTCTCTTCTCCTACCACTTCCCGAAGCCCAAGGGATGGATGCAGCTCTCGGGGTCTGGTATGTGACTCAGGAAGATTGGGTCCTAAGCAACACCAGGCACCTGGACCCTGAACTGGGGCACAGGTGGGGAAGGGGTGTTGGGAATGAGGCCGAAGCCGAGTTAGAACTGGGGCACTTCCCACGTGGGACTTGCTTCTACGAAGCCTTCCTCGGAGATTCTGGGAAGCTGTATGTCTGAGCCTAGCTCGGTGGAACTGGCCAGGCCAGGTGGGGGGCAGATACGGATAGGTGAGGCTTTAGGGCGGGTTAGGGGCAGATGCTGCTCTGTGGGGTCAGCGTGCCCCCCTAATTCCCACATTAAAAAAGAGCCTCTTCCGATTAAACCACGTTTATTTTGAACATTCAAATTTACAAAAACAAAAAATGGTAACAAAACCATGACACACACACACTCACACATACACATACACACAAAATATCTCATGTCACTTATTTACAAAATAGAGCCAAGTGAGGAGGGAGGGCACTCATTCCACAGTGTCCAAGGACGATGATGACAACTTCACATGCGCACTGCTGGCTGCTCAGTCTGGGAAGGAGCTGGTCCCTCACCCTGCAGGGGCAGGGGACAGGCTTGGAGGTGGGACCTGGGATGGCAGGCAGCTAGAGTCAAGGCCCCTATCTGGGAGAAGACACTCCTCTAGTTTTTAGGCCAAAGGTGCTGGGACTTACAGGTAGGTGGGACCCAGTTTGGGGAAAATGGAGAAGACAGGCACAGTCAGAGGGACCTCAAGGGTCATTTGTGCTCCCTGGCCAGGCCTCAGCTTCTCCATCTGCAAGCCAAGGGTTGAGTTCCCTCCCACAGTTGCTCATGTCTGTGGTCCTGTTCATGTCTAACTGGCGAGATGATGCCTTGGGATGTGAGAGAGACCACCACATGCGGGGGAGTGGGTGGGCAGTCTGGCAGAGATCAGCTTAGAGCACCTGGCATAAGCCTTGTCCAGAGCAGGAGGCTGAGGAGGGGCCACCTCCACCCTGCCTTCCTGCCTTCACTCCAGAGACACTCCTTTCCTGCCCTGCAAACTGCAGCCCAGGTAGAGGCTGAGGCTTGAGCACAGGTGAGAGACCCTTCACTGGCTCTGAGCCCCGCACCTTATCTCTGCTCCTTCTGCACTCTGGAGGTGGCTCCATCCTCCAGGCATGTAACCTGCCTCCAAATAGAAATAGCACTGTCATCAGCTGGCCAATCGACACCGGGCAAGTTACTCTACCTTCTCAGAGCCCTGCCCTTCTCTTCTGCATCACAGGCTAAGGACAGTCGCAGACAGTGCAGATAGCGTGCTCTGCAGTTGCAGCACCTAAAACTGCTTGCAAACCCAGCTCCATCTTCATCAGACCCAGGGGCAGCTCAGGGTGGAAGCTGTCCTGTTGGGAGCAGCAGAAGGCATCAAAACAGGGGTCCACATGCTCAGGGAATATTCATGGTGCAATAGATGAGAACAGTTGAGGACTCTGGAAATAGAGAGCCAGCCCTTTCCCTAGTGATCCACACTCAGAGACATGCGCCAACATCTCCATTTCTTTCTCCTGGGGGGAGGTGGCTGAAGTTTAACCAGGGTGACCTGGCATAGGAATGTGGCAGAGGCGTCATTTCTCATTACCGTTGTGACAAAGCAGAAAGGATTGGGATGGTGTGCCTGGTGGGCTCAAATGACCCAGCAGTTTCTGCCACATCCTTCCTAAGACTCTGTCCTCCTAAGGTCTCCTCTAAAGCTACCTCTTTTAGAACAATATCGAAAGCTTGATGAGGCTCAGAGTCCCTGAGGTCTAAGTTCTGAATCCAGCTGTCACCCAGCAACAATTTGAACGACAGACACTTGACCCAGCACTGGAGCCGATGTCATTGGCTGTTACTGGGCAACCTACATCTCAGCAGGTCTGGGTGAAGCCACTGCAACTATCTTCAGGGATGGGGATGGGGGTGCTGAGATGTGTAGTTGCTCTCAAAATGGAAACAGAGATCTGCAGGCCAGAGGCAAGTCTTGGGCATGCTTCCCTGACATGGGCTGCAGCCTCCTACTCCTGCGACACATCTCAGGCTGAATAGCCATTGGGAGCACAGACAGGGACAAAAGTTGGAGGGGACGGAGGTGGGGGGCACCAGTGCCCACTGATTCAGCCAGCTGCTAACTGTGCCAGTACTTGAGAGAGGACCAGGAGGGCACTTTGTCCTCAGCCATCTATCTGGCCTGGCTCTTTCCCTTACAGCCTGAGGTTGGATGTCCCACTAAGATGTTGGAAAACACTGAGCCCTCTCAAATGCCTCCCTGCACAGGTATAAGATGGGCTCAAAGACCCTCAAGGACAGGCAGTATGGTATGCAGGAAGCGCACTGAGGAGGGATTCCGAGACTCTGGGCCCACAATGCTGTGCTGTATGATCCTGGACATGTTCATTGCCCTCTCTCTGCTCTTCCCCATTTTCCACAAGCAAGAACTTACAATTGGTGGTCTTTCTCAGCACTGACATTCTGTGCTCCTGGGGGAGCTGGTAAGGACTCACAGACGACCAGGTAGCCACTAGCTGAGACTCTCAGAAAAACAAGGGTGGAGGATGGGAGCTAACAATTATGTGAGTCTGGTCTGCCTTGAGCCTTTGAGCCAGCTGTGACCCTAACCCCTGCCTACACGATCCCATCTGGTATCCAGTTCCAGAATCTTCTGTGCTAAGCACTGGGTCTTCAGTGCTATCTTTGCCTGCTCTGTCCACCAGGTATCATGGCTCATCTCATATTCTAAGTGGGGCATTCTCGGAAGCTGCCAGGAGTATGGCCTCAGCTTACAAAGGGGGAAAGCCAGGCCTAGAAAGGGTAAGTTCTTACAGAAGGCCACACAGCAAGTCAGCAGCAGGGCTGACTATGAAATAAGGGGTCCTCTCTCTCACTCAGTGCACTGCTCTCTCTCTCTCTCTCTCTCACTGTCTGCCTCTGTCTGTCTCTCTCTGTCTCTGTCTCTGTCTCTCTCTCTTTCTCTCTCTCTCTCTCTCTTTCTCTGTCCTCCGGTCTTTCCAGGGCCACACAGAAGGCGTTGACATGGTGGCTAAGCCACAGGGCTCTGGCAGGAAAATGTCTCCTAGGACATGGTGCCTCTGCTTTGGATGCTCTCAGGCTAGGCTAGAGTGACCCAGGTCCTGTCTTGGGCATGGGGGTGGGGTGGTCAACCATGCTGGTGGGCAAAGTTGCCGGTGGGTATGGGGGTGATTACAGCCCTTTGGCCTCCAAGGTCTTGGTCCCTAGCTGTTAGGTGGGAGATGGGAAGGGAACATCCTGGAAACTGAGGCAGGGCTTGAACTGACATCAAACCAACATTCTAACCACAACACACAAAGAAACTGGTGCGAGGAAGGAGGAAGAGGGGGGCAATGGGAGCGATGGTCCTGTAGCCCCTGTGGGCAACTGAGGACGACAGACGAGGAGGGTCTGATCTCACACATCACTGGCATCCCTTCTACCGTCCGTGTAGGCCTGAGGCATAGGGGATGAGAGGGTCAGAGGCCACCTCTACCCACAACTCCTCGGGGAATGTTGGAATTAGTGCGGTCTGATGTGACTGGTGGGGGACAGAGTGTGTGAGCGGGAGAGGCCAAGCCAATACATTGCCGGGAGGCAGGACGGCCTCGACTCCCCTAGGTTGGGTCAATGGACTTGAGATACTGGTCCCTACCCAGGCAGTTGAGGGGACATCCATCCAGGGCAGGACATTCTGGAGGTGTGGGTGCCTGTGATGGGAAGTGGGAGGTGTGGCCGGGAGTGTGGTAGGAGGGCAGGTCAGCACGTGGACAGGCTGTGGAGGGAAGTGCCCCTTCAAGGTCCCCAAAGTGACAGGCAAGGGAGGGGCTCTGAACAAGGTGGCTCCTCATGCCTTGGCCCTCCCCTTGCAGACATCAAAGGTGGCCTTCTTTGCACCTCCGAAGGCCTCCACCAGCTTATCTTCCCAGGGAAGGACATTGCCCATCAGAGGTCCAGTGCAGTTGGCCATGCCAAGGACCTGGGCAGGTGTCAGGACGTGGTCCCACAGGTTGAACTGTGCAATGTCACCGACAAAGGCCTGAGTGGCATCGAATCGGCCCCCCAGGGTGTCCTGAGCCAAGCGAGCAGCAAAGAAAGGAGAGAGACATGGGATGAAGGAGCGAGGGCAGAGGCAACCAAGCCAGGCCCTATGCCTGCCAAAGCCAGGTTCCCAAGGCTCTAGCCCCACCGAGGATGCTTCCTCCCAAGGCTCATGTCCCTCCCTAGCACCGCTCCAAGGTTCCAGTCTCATCCCAGGTTCCAGCCCCACCTGCTTCTTTAGCTCTCAGCTGCCCATCCGCAAATTGGTGGGTTAGACAGCAGGCTCACCGCTGTTTTTACCTCCTCCTGTTTCCTTTTCAGGGGCCCCAGAGTGGGTGGGATAATGACTTGGGGGTGCATGCTACCTGAGCCTTACCTGCTCTTGGCCCAGGATAAGGATACCATGTGGCTTGATGGGGTGCCAGGCTGCCAGGTTCTCACCAGAGCCCCGAAGTTCACCATCCTGATACGCAGACCACAGCCCATCCCTGGTGGTCCAGGCAATGCAGATGTGGTGCCAATTGTTGTCCTTCAGGCTCAGAGGCAGCTGGGCCACCTGGACACAGGACCCAAACCCAGGTGAGAGGCCCAAGGCTGCAGAAGTGAGCTGGCTTTGCAGCCAGCCTCACAGCTTTCCTCTGGGGATGGGGTCCAAGGCCAAACTTGAATTCCATCCATTGTCTTTCTCGTCCTGACTTTCCCTCTTCCCACATGACCCCACCAAGCGGCTTCCTTCAGGTCACAGGCACTATCTTTTTGGTTTTCAGGGCACCAAGCTCACATGCGGTAGGGCAGTGTCTACAACCTTACACACCTAAAACAGTGCCCAGCACACAGTGCTGCTTACTCACTAGGACAGAATGAGCCTTGAACTCAGAGGCTGGGTCCTAATGTCTGGCCCTGGATCTGCAACCAGCCCCTATGTGGCCTTAGGGAGGCTGCCTTTTCTTCCAGGGCCTTGTCTGTAAAGTTCTAGAGAGCATACACAGTTGCTGCCTCTTCCTGCACCCAAGGCAGACATGGCTAATCAATCATGAGCCTAGATGTAACCTGGGACTCTTGCTCATGGTGCTCTGGAAGCCTCTCTTGATGGCTTGATGCTGGTCTGTGAGGTGAACACCACTCATGGTCTGTGGCTCTAAAGGGCTCCTTTATCTCACAAACGCTCTGAGATCACGACTCCACAAGATACTCTCTGGTGCCTACTGGATGCCAGGCCCCATTCCAGACTTACAGGGTGGATCTGGGCACGGCCTTGAACAAATCGTGCCTGCATGGGACTGCAGGGCTTCAGGGACAACATGGCCTGTGACTATTTATCTCCACTCTCAGCTTGACTGGACTTTGAATCACCCAGGAGACATGCCTCTGGGCATTATTGCTTGTGAGGGAGTTTCTAGAGAGATCTGGTAGGAGGGAGGCCTGCCCCAAATGTGGCTGAGTAAAAAGCCAGCTGCGAGCCCGCATTCACCTCACTCTGCAGTGTGAGCAGCCTCCTCACACGCTGGCCCTCACAGCTACCGCTGCTCTTGCCACCCTGACTTCCCAAGATGGACTGTACCCCAAACTGCGGGCCAGGACAGACCTGCCCTTAAAGTGCTTTTGTCAGGGACTTTGTTAGGGCAGTGAGATGCCGGGGCTGGAGGGGACGCCGGCGGGGAGGGGCGCAGGGGGGTATGGTGGGAGGAGCTGCTGACAAAAACCCCCGAAAGGACATCTAATCGGCTGTGGCAAATGTGGTAAAGTGTCAAGGCACAGCAGAGGCAGATCGGGGGGGGGGGGGGGGAGGAGGGAAGAGCCACAGGCAGGATACAAGGCTGGCAGCGCTGTGCCCTGTCCAGGGTGCTGAATTCTCCATCTCCAGGGCCTAGCGCTGCCCGCCCTCTGCCAGGCACCAAAGACTAGCCAAGGGCTCTGGACAGCCCTCTCAGGTGGGGCCTGGTCACCCCTGTGATCTTGAGACCTTAAAGCAACACAATGACCCTCCTGGGCCACTGTAGTGTGGGGTACTGTGCTTTGGGAAGCAGACTCCACCGGTCCCCTGCCCCTGGGCCCTAAGCCCCGCCCAGTGTCCTAGAATCCGCCCACCTTGTCGTTGATCAGCAGCTCCATTGGCTCAAGGCCGGCCTCCAGCAGCACGATCTCATTGGCTTGCCCGGGCACCGAGTAGGAGAAGGGGGTGCCCTGGCCGGAGCCACCCGACCTGGAGCGCAGCCACATGCAGGTGGTGAAGGCGTAGAGTTCCGGCAGCGCCTTGCGAACGCGGGCGTACATGTAGTTGTTGCGGATGGGGATGCTGACCCTGAAGGCATCTGGGGGACTGTAGGCCGAGGACCCTGGAGAGGGACGGGGCAGGGTCAGTGGGCATTGTGCAAGGAGGGCTGATGGTTCCAGGCCCCTGGGGCACAAGTGTGAGTCTGGGGAGGTGGGGAGTGGGATGGGGGTGCCAAGTAATTCCACCTCGTAGGTGTGACTAAATTAGACCCAGGGGCTCTCTCTGGACTTCAGATGTCCCGAGTTCAAATCTTGCCATCACCTCCTTCTGACCTGTGAATCTCAACAAGATAAATGCAACCTCCTTGGCCTCCATTTCTTCAGTAAAATGGGCTAATGACACGTTCTCCATTCTGCACCGTGAGAGTGGTAGGCCCAGAGTAGGCTCATCAAATACTAGTTATAATCATGGCTATTTACAGTTGTTCACCAACTTAAGAGGCATTCTCCAGCACCCTGTGTGTGGCATGCTGGCTCTAAGTACCTTCTATCTGTCACTTCCTCGAAAGCTGGAAAGGCAGGCACTGGGCACACAGAGGTCATTTTCTCAAGGTCACAAAGAAATCAAGCAGCGGGACTGGGGTTTGAACAAAAGGTCAAAGACTCAACTCAAAATAGAGACAGGGATGGAGCCCCAGGATGGGAGGTGGTGCACAGGGGTGGGGGGTGTTACCATGACTTCCCTTCTCCGTCCTGCAGGCAGTTAAGAGGGGAGGGGGAACTTCCCCTGGTCCTCAGGGGTGTGGGGGGCACAGTAGCTGGGCTGGAGGCCAGTGCTGAAGTTCGAGTACTCAACCAGGTGCCGCCCTGGAGCTCCTCAGGCCCACTGTTCCCCTACAGCTGAAGGCAGCATGGCCCCTTGGCTCCCACAGGTACTTTCTGTCTCTGCTCTCCAGGGTTGGCTTAAGATCCCCCAGGAAGACACCTGAGCCACTCCTAGTTCCCATCTCCCTAGCTTGCCCTTACAAGGGCCCATGAGAGCTCATACACCCCTAATCCTGTCCCCATCTCTCAGGTGAGGACACTGAAGAAAGCAAATGACCTTTCAAGGTCACATAGCAAGTCTGTGACAGACTTGGAACTCAGGAAACCTGATAACCTGCTCCTACACACTGTCCATTCCCTGACCCCCAAGGGCTAATCAAATGACAGAAGGCTGGCAGATTAGTGACAGGTGTCAATTATGGACAGCTAAATGCATGGTCATGGGGTCTGAAGGATCTGGTCATAGGTCTAGACCATTTACTCACTGGCTATGTGACCTCCGACAAGTCACTTGACCTCTCTCAAACTCACTGTCCTAAAAACCCTGCAGCTACCGCAGATTAAATCAGCCAGCGTGTCGTAGCACAGCCAGCTCCTGGACCCCGCAGAACCAGAAAATGACAATTCATTGCGGGCAGTAGCTTTGAGAGTGGCAGCAACCTCCCAGCCTGCTCTTTCTCTCAAGCTCCACAGCCTCTGGAAGTTGCAGCCGGAGACCAGGGCCCGGCAGCTCGACCATCGTCACTCTGGGACCTACCATGCTCCAGCTCTGCTACTCGACCCTGTAGGGCATTCAGCTCCTTCTCCACTTCCTGTCGCTGCTGGTGGCTGCCGTGACTGAGGGCAGCGCGCTCCTTCTCCAGCGCCAGTACCTTCGCCAGCAGCTGGCCTTCCAGCTCGTCCATCTTGGAGTGCAGGGCGGTGGGCACGGCCGGGGCCGGCGCCGAGAGGTTCCCACGGGCTGGCAGCTCCTGCTGCTCCGGAGGAAAAGGAAGGATGGTGATGTCACGTGGAGATGCCACCACTCGGCTGGCCACCACAGCTGAACCTAGCTTCTGGTAGGCCAAGTTGGGAGGGTGAAGCAGAGGCAGGCAGCCTACCCACAGACAGAGCCTGCATACAGAAGGGAGTGAGAACCTATACAAGTTCAGCTTTGGAGTGGAAAGGGGCCACACCAGGGCCTTCTAGGACCTTCTATGGCTGGGCCCCATGACACAAACCCCCCTCCAAGGGCTGGGACACAGTTGAGGGAGGGCAAGGCCTGCTGAGGTGCATTTGTGACTCACCAGGACAGGCCTGCTGCCAGGCCTTCTGGATGGGGCTCTCGTGTCATTATCTTAGGATTGTGGTAATGATCCCAGACTCAAGTGACAGCTACGGACTCAAACCCAGCTTGGGAACCAACCACCTGTATGATGCTGGGGAAACCTGGAGACTATTCTGAACTCATTTCCTCATGAGACAGTTGTCTGGTCGTCTTGGAACCACTCTGGGGAGGATTGTGTGGCAAATACCGACAAAGCCAGCCTGCTGGCACCAGTGTCCATCTCATTCAGGGTGTCCCGAAGGCAGGCCCTGTCCAGCCCGGGGTGAGGAAGCAGTCACAGTCTCTGGTGACTACATCACGGTAGGGGCTTGTGGCACACAACAGGTGTGCATTCGTGACTGGTCAGTGAACAAATTGGGAGGACTCTCTGAGCACAGGCGAGGGTCAAGTTTGAACCTAAGACTTCCAGTCCTTTGATGCCATCTCACATCTCCTGTGGGAGCCACTCAGCAGAGCCGGGCACCGATGGGACATGGAGGCTGCAGGACTCCCCAGGGGGATTCATGACAGATGTTGAGAGGAGCATGCGGCTGGCGGCGGCGGTGAGCAGTCTGTAGAGCTGTTTGAATCTTTAGTGCTCCCTGTGACTCCCACTGAGCTTCCCTGCCGTGATAGAGTCAGAGGGTGGGTGTGGCTGGTGTCCCGCTGCTGCCTTTCAACACAACCCATGCACCCAAAGCGCTGCAGCTGACACACACCCCAGCAGGGACAGAACGGCAGCACCAGGCCATCACCCCACGACCCTGCTCATGAGGGGCAGTAGCAGCAGCGCTGAGAGTGAGGCCCTGCACCTCATCCTGAGGTCACATCACTGGTTGTCATAGCAGCTCTTGGCATTGACACAAGGGACACACTCGCCTCCTTATCACAGGAAAGGTTAAGAGGTATATCCACCATCACTAGGCAAATGACCAGCAAGGCCAGGGCTGGGTCACCTAGGCTGGAAGGGTCCTTGAGCTGTCCTCAGGGGCAGGGACAGTGCCTTGAGACTTGAAGTGCTCAAGGGATGTTGAGAGACACTGTCCTGTTTCTAGCTGGGTGTCCTCCTTCCCTACTCCTTCCCCTCCTGGAGTGACCAGGCCACCACAGGGTTTGGCTGCTTCCTTCAAGGGGACACACATGTGGCCAGGAGGGGCATACAAGCTGTTCTTTGTTGAAGCACATGTTTGGTGGCCCCAGGAAGCCAGGGAGGAGGGGGCTCAGAGGGTAGGCTGCAGCCCACCCCCACCCTAGCACATGAATCAGAGAGATATGACGCCCCCAGCCCGATTCCATCTGCCACAGGCGCAGGCTGTGTGGCGTGGGCTACGGGCCTCGTGCCAAGTGGGCCCCAGCCTGAGATGGTTGGGGGACAAGCGGAGATGATGTCACACTGTTCCCCACTCAGTGCCTGATAGGGTAGGAAGGGAGGGCTGGATTCCAGGTGGGCTGTTGAGCGTCTGTGGTGGAGTTTATTATATCTGGGCCTAGAGCCAAATCCCAGGGTTCTAGGCCAAGCTCAGCCATCATGAGCTAATGGGGATGCGGGTGCATGCGGGAATGAGAGGCTCTTTAGTACTCAACAGGGAACACCACAGCAGCAGCATGGATGACACCAGACATGCGGCAAACACTTCTCGGCTGTTCTTACCTCCTGAGGACCAAGTTAGAGACCAGGGTGTTGAGGCTCAGAGAGGGTAGGCTGCCTGCCTGAGACCACACAGCAGTCCTGTGCCCACTCCTCATACCAACCCTCACATTCTGAGTCTCAGTTTGTTCTCCTGCAAAGTGAGTGTGTAGCATTACCCTGGTTGCTAAGAAAGCCTAAAGGTATGGTCTCAGAGGCCATGAGAAAGCCAGGAAAGGCAGTGTGTCACTGTGGACAGCCTTACAGAGGGCCCCATTCCAGTGTGACATGGCTGAGGTGTGGAATCGGGAAAGCCAACTGCCCTGGCTTCATGCAGCGGCTGCTTCCTTTGTGGCATGAGTAGTGGAAGGGCCGGACTTCGGGGTCCATGCAGCCCACCCTCCCCGCCCAGCCCAGGTTCTGGGGACAGTAGTGCAGGCCTCTCCACCCAACTGTGTCCCTGTTCTGCCAGCTCACGCCCTGGCTCCACCAGCTGAGGGGCTTGTTATGAAAAGATGCTGAGCCGGGCGTGGTGGCGCACGCCTTTAATCCCAGCACTTGGGAGGCAGAGGCAGGAGGATCTCTGTGAGTTCGAGACCAGCCTGGTCTACAGAGTGAGTTCCAGGACAGTCTACAAAACAATACAGAGAAACCCTGTCTCGAAAAACCAAAAAAAAAAAAAAGAAAGAAAGAAAAGAAAAGATGCTGTGCCTCGGTTTCCCTGTTGGCACAAGAATAACACATTATCTCAGAGCCCACAGGGGAGCAGGCCTGGGAAATGGGTGGAGTGTTGGCTATTGTCATTGCCACCAACACTACCTCCCTATGTTTGTTTTCTGGGTGGGTTGTTTTTGGGTTTTGTTTGTTTGTTTGGTTTGGTTTTTTTTGGGGGGGGGTTCAAGACAGGATTTCTCCATGTAACAGTCTTGGCTGTCTTCAAACTTTATACTTGCTTTATAGACCAGACTGGCCTCAAACTCACTGAGATCCGCCAGCCTCTGCCTCCCAAGTGCTGGGATTAAAGGCATGCACCACCACTGCCCGGTCCTCACTATGTCTTAAAGGGGCTGGAGACTCAGCTCAGTTGGTAGAGGGTCCCAGAACCGCATAAACTGTGTGTGGTGGTGCATACCCTTTGACCCCAGCCCTCAGGAGGTGAAGTCAGAAGGGTCAGAAGTTTAAGGTTATCCTTGGCTACATATCTAGCTCAAGGCCAGCCTGGGTTACATGAGACCCTATATCAAAAGTAAGTAAATAAATGTCTTGAAAGGATACACATTTTCCCCATACCCAGTCCTGAAGGTTTGTCAGATTATTACACTGAGAGAAAAGCTAGGCACAGGATGGTCCACAGTTGGTACCACCAGATGTCAGGTACCTGGGGGAGGAGGTTCAGGCAGAAGGCAGGGGTGAGATGGTCGATTCAGAATGGGGTGCCCATGCCCCAACACCCCAAATCCATCTCACCCTGAGGCACGTGCCGTTCCTTCTGCCAGGCGTACTCTTCCTGCCCCTCCCCTCCCTCGCCTGAGAGAGCTCCTGCTCTCCCAGATGGCAGCTTCCCTCAAGCCCGAGCCAAGATGCTCGAAGGAAAGAACGGGGTTCCAAGCTCTGTCGGGGCTTCTGAGCCCCCCTCATTCACTCGCCCATCCAGCCACAGCGTGTGCCCTGGCGATGCAGTGTCTGCATGACAGCCATCAACTCGTAGCCGAGAGGTCTGCACAGCTGCTGGATTTCCCACTTGCGGGATCTGTGGCCTCCAGCAAGCTGCTCCGCCACATCCGTGAAAGTCAGGCCATATTTGATTACTTCCTGCACTTGGGTTGCAAGTTGTGAGATGTGAGGCAGGATCTAAGCCACAGGTGGCCTCCAAGCAGTTGTTACTATTCCTTTTATCGTTACTGAGGGGATGGCTTGATCAAGAAGCCTGCTGAGGCACCTGTGCACAACCCTGACAGGGACCCCATGCCAGGTCATTGACTCAGGAACCCTGGCAATAGTCTTGGCTCAGCCCCACTGTGCTGTGGGCCTTGGACAAATCCCTTGGCCTCTCTGATCCTGTTCCCCTGGGTAGAGCTATGGAGGACAACTGTCCTCAGAGTTCAGCAGGGATTAGACACTCAGAGAATCCTGGGCTTACGCTGTTCATTCCTTTGTGAGCAGCCTAACTTTTGGCCTCATCCCACCACGGGCAAAGACTTCTGGAATGGCACGGTCCCTGACACCATGAATTAGCAGAACCACACACGTTTAAACGGTGACAGTCCTGAGTACTTTACACCTACCAGCTCAGGGAAGTTTGCAAATGGCCAGGCCTGGTGGGCGAGGCTTGCTCCTGGGTGGGCATGGAAATTTTTACAGCCACTTTGGGAAAATGTGTCACAGTACCTACAGATGCTAAATATATGTCCTTGCTGGCACCCAGGCATCCCACTGCTGGGGACAGGGCCGGAAGAAAGGAGGCTGATGGCCACCCAAAGAGACTATACAGTGTTCACAACAGCTTCGAGCTAGAATTAGACAGAACCTGAACGTCCGTCCTCAGAACAGGCTAGCGGTGATGGCGCCTCTACAGAGTGACAAGTGGCCACTGCCACAGACACCTAACTCAATGGCACAGGCACAAAACCACTCAAGGTTCAACTACAAGCAAAACTCACTAATGGGTTGGGTGTGGTGGCCCACTGGGGAGGCAGAGGCAGGCAGAGCTCTGAGTTCAAGGCCAGCCTGGCCTAAAAGCAAGTTCTAGGACTACACAGAGAAACACTGTCACACACACACACTCACACACACACTCACACACACACCAACGAAACTCATTAATGTTGACCACAGTCAGGATGTGGAGGCCCCCAGTGACTTTGGGGGGCCTACGGGAGTCTTCATGACCTGCGAAGGCTAGCTGTTATCCTGGGAGTACTTTCCCAGAGGCACCCACATATATCTGCCTAGACCTGTCCACTCCAGATTTGTGTCCTTTATAAGAGAGACATGAACCCTTATAGACCACAGAAATAAAAAGCAATTGTGCCTCTGACCCAGCAGGAAGGGCCACTCTTCCTGGGAGGACAAAAGACTTTTTAAAAGGGCTTGAAGTATCCCTTCTCATTCAACAGATGGGGTTACTGAGGACCAGACACAGGAGGGTCTGAGGTCATGGTAAGAGGGTGGCAGACAGATACAGGATTTACAAAGCCAGGCTTCTTGCTAGGATGAAGGTCCACCAATTGGAGGCTCAGTTAGGGGCCTTTCACAGCCCAGCTTACCCATTTTACAGACATGAAAACTGAGGTCTGGAAAGGGAGTGTTCCAAAGAATAAGTATGTTCCATGCAACTGCCCCACCCCCACTTAGAGCTGGCAGGGTGTCCAGGAAACATCTGCTGTTGTAGGTTTGTTAGGTTTTTTGAGATGGAGTCTCATGTAGTCTAGGCTAGACTTGAACTCACCATGCAGTTGAGGATAACTTTAAAAGTCTCATCCATTTGTTTCTGCCTCCCAAGAGTTAGGATTACAGGTATGTACCATAATGCCCCGTTTATTGTGTGCTAGGGATTGGACCCAGGGCTTCGGGCATGCCTGGCAGGCGCTCTACCAACGGAACTCCACCCCAGCCCTTCCCTGACAGGGGCAAAGGGCAGAGGTCTGTCTGCCTGTGGTGCTCCCTCAGACTCCGAGTCTTCCAGTCTCTCTCCCCAGGACAGAAACATACACGGCCTGTTTCACCTGACAGCCACTGAAGAAGCCAATGGATAATACATACACCTAAAAGGGTCGGCTGCCCCTGCCAGCCCCGGAGGAGCCTCTGAGGCCTGGCCAGCACCATGCTCACTCTTAGTCCCCAAAGACGAAGGTGAGCGCTGCTCTCCCTTGTATCATCTTGTAGGTGGGAAATGTCCGATTCCTGAGTGTGGAGTCAACATGAAGACCCAGACAGGACCAAGTCCAGGCTCTGATGCTGGGTGACCTGGGGCCAGTGTTTTAACCTCTCTGAGTCTGGTTTGTTTGCAAAAGAGGAACAGTTTCTCCTCCACAGAGTGAAGGGAGGATTGAATGGGATGACGTAAAGTTCCGGACGCGGTAAGTACTGAGTAACACGATGTTAGGGTGTCAGCAAGCAAGCATGGCTTCCCTGAACCCAGCAGCCCTTGGGATTCCCATCAGTATGCTCTTTACCATGGCTCTGCTCCAGAGGGAGGCAGGGCGGTGGAGCACAGGGCTTGTGTCAGGGAAATTCTGTCTAAACCAATCCTGAATCGTCACCGTACACGCACATTAGCACAGAAAATGGAACTCTGGGGCACATCAGCGTGGCCGGATGCCACATAAGTGGACCAGCTCCCTTGGAAAGTGGTTCTTGGCCACAGTCAGGAGAAGTCAACCTCCCCTGATATGGGAATGGCCCTCAGGGGCTTCCGCTACAGGCTCCATTCAACAGACTGAACCACAGCTTGCCAAAGGGGGGAGATCAGAGGCAACTTGCACTCATCCCCAGAGGCTAGTGATGATGGGAAAATGGTAATTCCGCCCTGGCCCGTTCCAATGCCTGCTGGGGAACTAGTATCAGGGGGCTCTGAGATTAATTATGAAATTTCCCCCCAAATCTATTGACTTTTTTCAGTGAACAATGGAAACAAAAACAAAACAAACAAACAAAAGGTCAGTGCTTTTTCTGAAGCCCTTAGGCACGGCTCCCACCTCAGGTGGGTCTGAGAAGAAGGCCAGTCTGATGTCTCCACCTATTGTAGTCAGGTCTGCCTGGAAGGGGCAGGGTGACCCAGAGGTACACAGGTGGGTGGCGATGGGGGTGGGCAGTCATGGCATGGCCAGGGAAGGCCTCTGGGAGGAAGGAGTCTGGGGCAGGTGCTATGTATATAGGGGAAGTTGAGCTGACCCAAGAGAAGGCAGGAGAGATCTGGGAGATAAGGCCAGGGAGCCAGGTCAGATTCAAGCAGGTGGTCAGGTTCAGGCTGAGGCGTGTGCCCCCATGAAGGAACCCCAGGGTAGGAACACCCCCAGATGTGCGTGGAAGTGAGGGACCAGCCAAGAGGCAGCTTGGGAGTGCACCCAGAGATGCGAGTAGGCTCTGTGGGTCATGTGGAGGGAGCATTGGAAGCCCCTGGGTGTGGCTCAGCCCGCCGGGGGCACCCGAGAGGAAACCACCCAAGGAGGAGGATCTTGAAGCAGAAGGAGATGCTGTGGTACAGTGAGAGAGGACAGGTAGATGCATCTAGAAGCCAAGAAGGGAAACGATATGTGGCTGGGGTGGGGGGCAGCTCAGATGTCTGAAAGGAGCCAGCAAGGCAGACACTAGAAAACCCCTTCAGGTCATGACCTCTGGGGACATTAGCAAGAGTGAATTCGGGGGACTGCATTAGTAAATCAGGGACTTTTGCCCAGAGCGGATGAGAAGAGAAGGGAGAAAATACATCCATGGCCTAGAGATGCGAGAGTCCCCACTGAGAGTGGCAGCGTGATCCCCAGAGACTGACTCTGGCTGCTGCCACGCTCAGAAACCGGACCTGGTAGCTCCACATCCGCTGCTCTCAGCAAACCCAAGAAGGAGAATGTGGGGAAGCCGACATCCGCTGCTCTCAGCAAACCCAAGAAGGAGAATGTGGGGAAGCCGGGCTCCCCAAGCCCGGGAAGCCGACCGGCTGCCAAATCCCAGGCGCCAGGATCCCTCTGCCTCAGCGGGTCAAGAGCCAGGTTCCCAGGAGCAGGGCCAGGGTCAGCCCAGCTCTGCCGGTCACAGCCGTGGGAGGAGCCACCTGTGCCATCTGTGGCGTCAGGGCTAGAGCAGAAGGCAAAGTTAAGGGGGAAAAATCAAATGATTTTCACTTTGGTACAATCTTCTTAAGGGAGAGTTTACTCTTGATTATGTTTGTATTTTTTTCGATTGGAGTTTCTGGTGAGGCGTAGAGTGTCACAATGCCCACTGCACAGGCGAGGAGACTGAGGCTGCCCCTCCCTGCAAGCTTTTTACTTGGTCTTTTCCCTGCTCTTGGGATTTGGAACCTCACCTCTGGACAGGGAAGAGGGGGTGCTGGCCTGGCTGGTCTCCCCTTCTGCTGCTCAGCTCAGGAGGTTCCAGCCGGATTTCCTCACTTCCACAAAGGGAGTAGAAGCCTTGGGCATGCTGTGGCGAGGCTGTGGTCCGGCCCCTTGAGGGTGGGGGTGTGAGCAGCCGAGCTGTGGTCTACTGGGCTAGGGCCTACCGCTTTCTCCATGGTGTCTCCTCTTGCACCCCCACATTGAGCTTGGAGTGATATGCGTACTTTCCCCATTTAGTTCTCTCAGTCTCTCTCCTCACCTCCGCCCGGCTACAGCCTGGGGGAGACAGCATTTGCCCCATCTCTCCTCTCTGCCGTGGACCTGACTGTGTCCGGAAATAATTCCATGCCTGGAGATGGCCAAGGCTTCCTGGCTGTTTGTCCTGCCCGATCTGTCTCACCTATACTTCCCCAGACTGGGAATTTGTAACAGGAGAAGGGGAATTATAGGTATAATCAATCAATGAGCTTAGCATCACACACAAGCCAGAGTGGGGTCCCTTTGCCTGGGCTGCCTGTATCAGACCTGGAAAAGGAGGAGGGGGCTAAGTGGGTCCCTATTGAAGAGTCATTCGCTGACTCCCCAAGGGCCCAGAGCTTCAGGTATATAAAGCTGGGCGTGGTCGGAGGGTGGGGGGTGGTGCGGGGAGCTGAGGTTGGTGTTAATGGGGTACTCTTGGTCATGAGAGGAGCACTTCCTAACAGTAATGAGTGTGGGGTGGGTGCTGCTCTGGGTTCTGGTAGAAGGACATCTAAGGAGAGCCTCGTAGTGACAAACATCCCCGAGCCTGCCTCTCAATCAATTTCCACTACAAGTGTTCTTCCACTCGCGTGCATTGGTCACCGTAACAGGTTCCCACCTGGGATCCGGATCAGACGCTCCCGTAGTGCCAGCCAGGAGCGTGCACCGGGTGACCAGAGGGCAGCCACGGGGACCTGGGATCCCCGCGTCTCAGGCAAGGCAGCGCCCACACACACACCCCGCATCCCCGACGGCGCGCCGCTCACCTCGATGCGCTCGATGCGGTCTCGCAGCGCGCGCACCGCGTCCTCCAGCTCCAGGAGCAGCGCGGGTGAGTCCCAGGCGCCGTCGGCCATGGTGTCGCGGCGCGGTCCGGCATCCTGGAGGCCGCGCGGCAGGCCGCTCTCGCAGCGGCCCAGCTTGCCGGTGAGCTCGCGGATGGTGTCCCGGTCTGCACGGATGCGCGCCTCCTGCTGCAGCGCCGTCTGGCGCAGCTGCTCCGCCGTGCTCTGCAGCAGCAGCAGCTCCGCTCGCTCGCCCGCCGCGTCCCCCTGCTCGGTCCCCGACGGGCAGGCGGCTGCTAGCGGCGTGCAGAGGAAGCGGCTGAGCAGCGGCCCGGGCGGCGGCGGGAAGACGCTGGCAGCAGGCTCTCCGGGCAACGCCGAGGGCCCGGCCGAGCCGCCAGCGCCGTGCAGGGCGCTCAGGCTGCGCTGCGGGCCCGGGGCGCCGGCGGCCGAGGCATTGTCGGTGCCGCCGGGCAGCGCGCGCGCGGGGCTGGCCGCCAGGGGCACGCTGGCGATGATGCAGATGACGGCACCGAGGAACGCCAGCATGCCCGCGGCCAGCAGCACGGCCAGGAACTTCAGCGTGAAGCGCGGAGGGGGCGCGCTAGGCCCCCGGCAGGAGCGGCGGCGGGGTCGGGGCGCGGGGCCCGGGAGTGCGGGAGCCGGAGCGAGAACTGGAGATGTCGCCGCGGCCGCTACTGCCGCCGCTCTGAGCCCGCGCGGCGGGAGGAGGAGGAGAAGGCGGGCGCGGCGGCCCCGCCCCACTCGCTCCCCCGGGGCCAGCCGAGGCCCAGCCCGGCACCCGTTCGGTGCCGGGAGTCCGGTGCGTGCGCCACGCCCAGAACTTCATCTCACGGGAAGGGTGGTGACTGGATGGCTACCCGGCGGCTGGGTTCCAGGGCGACCCTGCTCTCTGGGCTCTGGTCCTCTCCCGGCCCTCCCCGGAATGCGGACAACTGAGACCCTGCGGGGCTCTGGACTCAGCGTGCTGCAGACTGCGTAGCAGTTAACACTCAGCATGAACACTCTCACAATACCAATGAGGAAACTGAGGGCTCTGGGCTCAGCATGATGCAGGCCGGGTTGCAATTAACACTCAGTGCAAACAAGCTCAAGGTACAAAGAGGAAACTGAGGCCCGCGGAGGCCCGCGTGACTACCCAAGGTCACACAGCTAGTATGCATTTGGAGCAGCATTTGAGGCCAGCCACTCTGCCTGGACAGGAATAGCAGGGTTGGGGAGAAAAGAGACAGCCCTCACGGTGAGGAGACGATTTGACCTAACCTATTTCTACTGTAGTCACCTGAGTGTCACCTGCCACCTCCAAACTTCCTAGCAGAGCAGGGTTCACTATTCTCCATCCCTGGTACTGCACCCTCATCCAAGTCCTCGGGTCCTCGGGCCTGCAAGCAGCAAGGTTCCCAGAGGAGAACCTGCTAGCTCACTGCAGCCTTCATCAGAGTGGCAGGTGGGAAGCAAGCTGGTGGGTGCCAAGACCAGGCAGGAGGGGGCTGTGTGCGCGTGGAGGTTTTACTTTATCGTGTCTAAAATGTCTATATATATTCTGTTGAAAATTAACTTCTCAATAAAAGATTTTAAAAATCTTGCCACCCTTTCCAGTCCAGCCCAGCCTCATTGCTCTGCAAGCTATCTCTACCTGGGGTGGATTCCTGGGCTGGAAGAACTCTGGGAGGCCCTGACGGTTCCTGCTGCAGCGTGGGGCTCGTGTGAATCGCCCACTGAGTCCTGAGCCAAGCCTTGACCTGAAGGGAAGGCCATCTCAAAGTCTCTGTCTCACATCTATGAGTGTGGACATGACTGGGAGGGGGACCAGGACATTCCTGAGGGACATTAGCCCCCAGGAACCTGGGTGACCCTACCTGGCCACTGATACCCCGTGGGTGGTCCATGGGCATGTGTTCTAACTCTCTCCCCTCCACAGTCATGGAAATTATGTCCCCTCTGCTCACCCACCTCCTAGAGTCAGGGGTTGTTGTCCAGATCTGAGTGGTAAGTGCATGGGAGCCCAGTCAATGCAGGACCTGCTCATCATTAACACCCAGAACCGGGATGATGGCTAGGGGTTAGTAACCTGAACAGCAGCCCAGGCAGCCTGGCTCAGAGGAAGCATCCCCAGCTGGAGACCTAGCCTCAGATCTTGGGAGGCAATGTCAGACATTGGGCTCCCGGAAGCTTTAGAGGGAAGACACCAGCACCCCAGCTGATTGGAATGTGTCCATGAAGACGGACAAGCAGACAAGGGGTAAATGTTCTTCCAGATGCAAGGCCAGGGGAGGCCAAGAGGAAGCCACTACCAAGAGCAGCACAGTTAGTGTCTGGAGACAGTTGCGAGGAGTACAGGGGCTGGAGTTGAATCTTGTTTAAACTGATCTATCAATGGCTCAGCATGACTATTAAGCCAATGATATGAGTCACCCTCTGCTTCCCACCAATGGCATCCTAGCTCTGGTCCGGGACTATCTCTCCAGGGATGTCTGTATGGTAAATGGCCTAGGAAAAAGAGTGAGTGTTGTTCTCAGAGAGCTGGTTGATCAGAGTACAGTTCACATCTCTGGGACCACAGTCAGCTGGGCAAAGGAAGACCAAGGCTATCTTTTTTTTTTTTTTTTTTTGAGACAGGGTTTCTCTGTGACTTTAGAGGCTGTCCTGGAGCTAGCTCTTGTAGACCAGGCTGGTCTCGAACTCACAGACTGCCAAGTGCTGGGACTAAAGGCATGCGCCACCAATGCCCAGCTTGACCAAGGCTATCTTACTTAGCTCAGTGTATTGTCGGTACTGCAGACCTATTGTGTGTGTCCATCTAGGGTGCCTGTGTTGCTCCATGAAGGCACAGGGGGCTATTGCCTACATGCAGTAATGTGAGTGATGAAGTCTCTCTCTGCCCCACCCCAGGGGAAGGGTTCTTGACTCTTCCCCAGCATCCATGAAACCTGCTAACTTGCCCGTTTGCTTTGTTTGTTTGTCTGTTTTTGAGACAAGGTCTTTAAATGTAGCCCTTACTAGCTTGGAACTCTCTGTGTAGACCAGGTTGGCCTCAAACTCATAGGGAGCCCCACATTTCTGCCTGGGACCAAAGATGTACACCATCACACCTGGCCCTAACTTGCCTGTTTGCAGATGAAGTGAGTCTCAGGCCTTTCAGCATTCTTGACTCCTTCTGTGTCTCCTCTCTCTAAAGTGAGGGATAGTGAGAGTATACAAAAAGCTTCTGTTTGGGCTGGGGATGTCGTCCAGATGGCAGAGTGATATAAAGCCAGGGTGTGGCACATGCCTGTAATTGCAGCATTTGGGAGGCAGAGGCAGAAGGATCAAGAGCTCGAGTCCATCTTGAGCTTCGTGAGAGCCTCCTGAGAGAGACAGACAGAAAGAGAGATGGGGAGTCAGACAGACAGACAGACAGACAGAGAGTTGCTAATCTGAGCACAACTTGGCTTTCCATCCTTGTGTCGGCTGCCTGCAGCAATCTCAAACGGCCAATGCCCCGGGCACCACAGTACCTCCCGTCTCTGCACTGGTCCATGGAAGCCCAGCCTGCAGCGGCACCTCCTCCATTCCTCTCCAGCCCTGGCACTCAGCACCAGCCTCCTTCCCCAGCCCCAGCTGCTTCTTAGAGAATATTTGCTGAAGTAGCTTCCCCACAGGCAGCGCCCCAGTGGGCAGAGGGCTGAGGCTGGACCCCTCTCTTCTGGCAATGTACCCCCTTTCTCCTGACAAAAAGTTCCTGTAGGGATGGTCAGGTGTGTTCTCGGGGAACCTTCCCTAAGACTGTATAGCACCCCCTTTTCCATCACGAGTCTTACATCTCTTGTTTTTTCCTCTTGTAGTGCTGGACACAGAACCCAGGGCCTACGCATGTTAGGCAAGAGCTCTATACCAGGACACAACCCCAGAAAGCCTAGGTTTTTATTTCTTTGTTTCCATCCCATTCTTAGGATAAGGGAATTTTGTTACAAACAACACAAATTTTTTTTAGGATTTTTTTTTCTGAATGTGGTTTACACACCTTTAATCCTAGCACTTAGGAAGCAGAGACAGGGGAATCTCTATAAGTACCGCACCAACCTGGCCTACACAGTGAGTTTCGGGCCAGCTAGAGTTGCATAGCGAGACCCTGTATAACAACAACAAAAGTCTGGGTGTGGTGGCACCAGCCTGTGACTGCAGTAGGGTCTGGGCAGCTAGGAGGGCTTGCTGCTAGCCTAGCCAAAATGGCAAGCTCAGTGAGAGATACTGTCTCAAACAGTAACATGGAGAGCAAATGAGAAAGACACCAATGCTTGCCTATGGCCTCCACACATATGTGCATACACATGCATGAACACATATGTACATGTGTTACATAAACAATTAAGCTAATATATAGACAAAAGTTCTGTTCAATTAGTGTTTGCCATACTATGGCTGATTTAAAAGGAACAGGCATGGAAGGGTGGCTTCTGAAAACATAGGCTAACAGGTCCATGGGCTGGCTCAGCAGGTAAAGGTGCTTGCTGTCAAACCTGACAATCTAAGTTCAAACCCTGGGACCCATGTGATAGAAGGAGAGAAGTGACTCTGGAAAGATGTCCTCTGACCTCCACACAGTGCTGTGGCACGCATGTGCCCCCCAATAAATAAACGAATGTAATAAAAAATTTAAACATGGGCAGTTCCCACTTCAGGCCCAGAGCAGAGGCAAGATTTGAATGTGGGGCTCAGGCCAGATGGCCTAGGCTTTTCCCCAGCTTTGAGGGTGAGTGTCCTGCAACCCAGGGAATCACTCAGTCCTGGGCAAATCATGAATGTGGTACCCCTAGATTCCCAAAGCCAAACCATTCTGCCACACTCCCTCCATGTCGCCAGGGAGTAGATTGTCACCACATGCCTTGCCCTCCCTTGCAGCGCCTCCACGGTGCCTTCTGTCTGCCCGCAGGCTGGGGCCAGTCTTCACAGCCCCATCTCCTGTCTCCAGGACTGCTATACGGGCATGCTCACACTCCCAGTGACTCGAGCCAGTATCCCCCTTGATGGTGTGCCTGAGAGCAAAGCAATCCCTTCCTCCCAGGACACGGGGAAGGAGGCCACCTCTCCACTGCGAGGACCATGCACTGTAGTCTCTATGAGATCTCATCTCCCCCATTGTAGCTGTGGAGTCAGTGGTACCTACAGACAGGATGTAATGAGGAGTGAGGAAAGATATTGCATAGAACTTTCCCTCAGGGGCCAGGGGTCAGGTGTAGGCACCATTTCTTTTCTCTTTACTGTTTTATTCTATCTATCAATCTATGCATCTATGCATCTATCCATCCATCTATCTATCCATCTATCTATGTATCTCATTTGTATATGCATACACACATACATGTATGGAGACCAGAGGACAATTTTCAGGAGTTGGTTCTCTTTTTCCTCTACCTCATGGGCCCTGGGTTTTGTTTTTTTGTTTGTTTGGTTTTTTTTGTTTGTTTTTTTTGTTTTTTTGGTTTTTCCAAGACAGGGTTTCTCTGTGTAGCTTTTTTTGGAGGCTGTCCTGGAACTTGCTCTGTAGACCAGGCTGGCCTTGAACTCACAGAGATCTGCCTGCCTCTACCTTCTGAGTGCTGGGATTAAAGGCATGCGCCACCAATGCCCGGCTGGGCCCTGGGTTTTGAACTCAGGTCATGCTTGGTGACAAGCGCCTCTAACTACTGTGCCATCTTCTGGGCCCCAGGCTCCATTTCTTACCACACTGCTTTGTATTTCCAGAGCACAGGACAGTGCCTGGCATTCAGAAGGTGACCAGTAAATGTTACCTGCTTCTTTGTGTGTTCCTAAGCGTGGTGCTCAATGTTACTTTCCTTTCTTGGTGCTCTCTTGCCTCCTTTATGACTCGAGTCTGGGACTCATTTACAAATTTGGCTCCACACACTTCAGTCTCTTTGGAGGGAAGCAAGGCCCCGCTGGGGCCCAAAAATGTTCGCACATTTGTAGTGGATGCCTGGATGTGGAGTCCCAGTCAATAGAGAGGAGGATTGAAGCCAGTGGGGTGACAGCATGCCTCCTGAGGAAGCCAAGAGATTTCCACCCAGACTCTCTGCTTCCTGGAAGCAGCTAGAAAGCCAACCCAGGCTTAGGCAGAAAGGGACATCTGTTCCTGCAGGCTCTGGAGGAGCCCCAATGCAGGAAAAGAGTCTCCTTTTGGTAGGGTCATTTGAGCTGTGCAGAGTCCAGAACAGGCCCAGAGAAGAAAGGCCAGTGGAACCAGGGCCAGCCAAGATTGCTGCTCTGAGGGACAGGCTGAGTTCCCTGCAGCCTCCAGAGTTGGATGCAGCAAGGGAGGGCCCTGGGACCTTGCCTGCGTGACCCTTCATATGTGGCTGGCACCAACTCTCAATGCCATCTGCTTCCTCCTGTACCCAGGGTGAATCTAAAAATGGGGGCCAGGTTAGGGAAGCTCTCTGGCTGGGAAATGGGACAGCACAGGGCAGGTGGGAAGCCCTGGGAGCCAGGCCCTTCCTGTTTCTGTCCCTGAGCTAGTGTGTCAGCCTCGGGTGACTCCAGCCTTGGGTCTCCCCTGTCAAAAGTCCACCTGCCACCCGCCATAACTGCAGCCACTGGTCAGCTGTGTCCACACGGTGCCTTTCAAATTTGAGAACAGAAGCACGAGGGGAAGGGACTTTTGCGGGATTCACAGGAGGCTTGAGACAAGGAGGGAAGCTCTCGTGAGATGGCATTGTCACACTAGGTACTGATCCCAGGTAGTTTACCAAAGCCTCACAAAAGCCCAAGAAAGCCCTTCGCCACTGCCGCCGTGCCTGTGCTGCAGACAGTGATACACAGAGGGGTTTCAGGGTGCTCAATAGCTCATCTGAGGAGCTGACGCTCAAATGCACACATTGAAACTCGTGCTGCTGGGATACGCTGTGTCTCTCCTGGCCCACCTGAGTCCAGTGCCTGGAACAGGACATGGCTGAAGGAACAAGGTCTGAGGACATGGCTGAAGGGCCTGTTAGGAGTATCCATAGAACCCTGGCATAATGGTGCACGCCTTCAATGTCAGCCCTTGGGAGACAGAGGCAGGCGGATCTCTAGAGTTCTGGGACAGCCAGAGCTACATTAGTGAGACCTTGTCTCTAAACAAGCAGAACAAAACAAGAGTGTCCGTAGATGCTTAGGAAGGGCTGTGCTGGGCACCGCAGGCAGCAATGGCTCACTCTTGCCCCGTGGCCGCCTCCTTAGGCCAGTCAATTCTCCCATCTTTCCCACCTCTCATGCAGCCTCAATGCGTGCAGTCACCTCTGGGTTTTTCTGGATTCTTTCATGTGTGTGCGTGTGTGGGAGGGTGTGTGCATCTATGTATGTACAGGGAGGCCAGAGGTCAATGGTAACGTGTCTTCCTCTATCATCCCACCTTCTTTTGAGGCAGGGGTTCTCACTGACTGTGAAACTCGTAGATTTGGCTGGGCTTGTTGGCAATGAGCTTTAGGGACCTGCCTGTCTCTGCCCAACCCCCCCTCCACCCCCGGCAGTGGGGTTACTGGCAAGTGCCACCACACCTGGGTTTTTACACAATGCTAGGGACACAAACTCAGGCCTTCAGGCTTGTGTGGCAGGGACTTTACCAGCTGAGTCATCTCTCCAGCCTCCTTTACCAGAATCTTCAGATACTGAAACAGGCCGAGTAGCTCATTTGGTGGAGAGCTTGCCTAGCATGCATGAGGACCTGGGTTTGGTCTCCAGCGTGGAATAAGCTGGGTATGGTCATACACGGCTGTATCAGGGTAGGTCATTCTTGTCTACAGAGTGAAATTAAGGCCAGTGTGGGCTAGAGAGAGAGAGAGAGAGAGAGAGAGAGAGAGAGAGAGAGAGTTGTGTGAGCTCAGGGATGCTCCTCCAAGACTACAGCCTGGTCTTCAGAGTGAGTTCTACAACAGCCAGGGCTACACAGAGAATCCCTGTCTCAAAAACCAGAACAAAAACAAACAAACAAACAAAGACTACAATCTTATCTGCCCTCTGCTAGATGCCTCTGCATTCTCAAGCTAAGGGGTTTGGGGGTGGGTGGATGGAGAATCCCACCTGGCTTGGCTCTCCAGAGTTTAGACGTCCTGGAAGGTGCCAGAAACTGG